TGTTTGATAATCAGGCATGATTTAGAGGTCAAATGTCAAGGTCATAGGTCTTAACGAAGTTCCTGTAAAGTTGTTACTGCATGATTCAGTAAAAGTTGTGTAGTTGCTGATTTCTAAGTTAGCATACCTATACCTCTTTGTAACAGGATAAACTTTATTGGCTTTTACAGTCAAAAGTAGGTCAAGGTCACTATGATCATACATCAAAATTGTTCATTAGCATTTGACTAAGAAAAAAGGTTGTTAAGAATAATCAAACATGGCATTGCATGTTCCCTTCATGAAAGGGTGTAACTTATTTCTTTTTGAGTCAGGATCAAATGTGAAGGTCACTGGGACCTATAATAAGTTGTCAGTATTTTGGAAATATTTTCCCCTTCAAGAGGTGATAGGTCCTATTAATTTTAAGTAATTAAAGGTCATTTTGTGTCATCTTTGTTTGTGGTATTTATCACCTCTTTTCTATATGATTTGCATGGAAAGTTTGTCTGTTCCAGGCATGATTTAGAGGTCAAATGTTATGAGTCAAGGAAGTATGCTATGCTTCAATTTGCTCTTGTTGTATTTGATAAATCATGGAACTTAGGACAAGAATATTGTAGGGATATATGTATCACTATATTGTCTGTTGTATTGGATTACAATCTCTGCAACAACAATACAGTACATTATATATGGTATGGACATTTGGGTTAAAGACTGTCTCAGCTGTTCCATTAGTCTGGATTAACTCTTATTTTTGAATAAATCAGAATGTTAAAATATTGGACAGGTGTTCATTATATTCAACAGAAAGGAATATTATAAAAATTTCCTCTGTAATTAAAGTAATGAGAAACATCCCTGAAGTCTACAGCTATGACACTGTGCGTATCTCAAAGGAAATACATCTCCATCCCACAATTTGCTTGAGAGTTTTTCCCATTCAGAGGATCAGGCTTTATAAAGTCTTGCTCCATTACAGTAATTGACCTGCATCATCCTTTTGTAAGATATATCTGAAGATAAGGACCTGGTATTTCAGATCCCTATGTTGGATACATCAATACCCGACAGACTTTTTCTCTAACAGATCCTTGCTTATAAACATTTTGTCTCTCCATGTTGACTCTCTATTTCAAGAATGTTCTTTAATCTCTCCTTGGTGCAGTTTAGCTCTTGGGAACAACAATGGTGGTTATAGAAAGGATGGCTTTCTGAGATTATAGATAACATACATTCAATTAGTATGTATTACAGAATACATTGATCTGTCTATAGGGAATCCAGTAAGCCCATTCCTGTAAATTTCTTGGCCAATTGCTATAGGTCCACCTCTCTGGGGATCACAAGTTGCTGAGCCATCTTTAAAATCAGACAGATGATCCAATTTAAGTTCACAAAGATAAGATTTGCTTAAAATAAAGAGAAGTATTTAGTCAATAAAGTCTGTAGATGTTTTGTTGTTCATTGAAATGTATAGAAACCAAAGAGTTACCATTGAAATGTATAGAAACCAAATAGTTACCATTGAAATATATAGAAACCAAAGAGTTACCATTGAAATGTATAGAAACCAAAGAGTTACCGTTGAAATATATAGACACCAAAGAGTTACCATTGAAATGTATAGAAACCAAAGGGTTACCATTGAAATATATAGAAACCAAAGAGTTACCATTGAAATGTATAGAAACCAAAGAGTTACCATTGAAATGTATAGAAACCAAAGAGTTACCATTGAAATGTATAGAAACCAAAGATTTACCATTCTAACAAGAAAAAATATCTTTTTTGAAAATTTTACAAAATCATAAAGGGAAGTTCATACTTAGTATGAGTCCTACCCACCACTTTAAATTATTGTGTCATCCCCCTGGGCTTATTAGTGGATTCATTAGGTATTTATATTCAATTTCCAGTTTGCTAATTAATTCCATTATGCCTACAAAATAAACAGACACCTTAAGGCTTGCTAATTATATCTAGTTATATAATTATGTCTGCTTATTTATCGGAAGAGGCAACATAGGTAAAGTACTTGTTCACCTGTTTCTGATTTTAGTAATGATGCATTGTCTACAGACTGTCACATTTAAACTGCAAAGGATTCTTGATGGAATTATTGATGTTATAGTGGCATTAACCACTGTAGTATAATTAGGTCACTGTGACCTGCATTTTGAAAAAAATGATATGCTACTTTCACTGTGTGTCTGGGAAATGATTTGGAAAGATAGCAAGAAATAAAAGAGAAAAATGCTCATGTTTATGGTTATCTAGATAATCTATTTGTTTGTTTACAGAAGTTAGGATTGGTGGATGACGTGCAAAATATGTGGGGAATGCAAGTAACTCTGTTAACAAAAAGATTCAAGTACTAATTGGCCCTCTGAATAGATCCTTTAATATTTAGATTTAAAAGGGACGCAAGTTTCAATGATTTGATAATTCTTCTGAAATTTTGTCTTAAAGTATGTTACCTAAAAATAGGTTTTTCAGATGTAAAATTTCTACATATATTTCTGTATGTCCCAAGTCACTTAATTCAGTGCTATCACTTTGAGATGAGTTTTATCTGAAAACCCCCTGTATCTTGAATACATCGAATCATTATCTTGCTAGAAAAACAGTTTACAAGTGTATATAAATATGTAATTTATCTTTTAAGTGCATTGCCTGTTATTGAGTCACGAGCACCCACAGGTGATCTCTTGGGATGGAAACAGAACATGTTATGGAAGCTTATCAGGTGTTATATACCCATGGCAATGTACTTCAGAAGCTTATATATAATGTGGTATTCAGTGCTTTGAAACCACTGATGATGTCAGAAAATCGGAGTGTTGTCTTACAAAAATAATTTAGCTTCCTCCGCAGGGACTTCATATAGCTTATGACGTCTCCGATAATGTTACCTGCCGAGAAGTTCTTAGATTACAGAACTGCTTCTTACGGCTTCTCTCTAAGTAAACAGTATGTTAGAGCACAAAGATATATTTCCTTTCTCAATTTCAATGAAATCCAGCACATTTTTATAACTTTTACTTGAATAAGATTGCAACAGATTTCTTTTATTGATCAAAATGTATGTAATAAAGGAAAGTGTCTGATGAACGCACACATGACCATTTCATACAACCCTTTCTTGTCGTGCCCAGAATTCATTAGAATCAATATCGATAAGAATTAGGCTTGATTCAATATATCACAGTGATTGGACTTGTACGGGTTGAAAAGGAAGGAACAGTGTGGGGTAGCTCTTCTGTAGAGTTAGGATGTACTTGTTATCAGGAGATGCCTGTTGTATAAGTGATACATGTTTACTCAGTGTAGATACATATTTACACAGATACATGTTTACTCAGTGTAGATACATATTTACACAGATACAGGTTTACTCAGTGTAGATACATATTTACACAGATACATGTTTACTCAGTGTAGATTCAGTGTAGATACATTTTAACACAGATACATGTTTACTCAGTGAAGATACGTTTTAACACAGATACATGTTTACTCAGTGTAGATACATACTCAGTGTAGATACATATTACCACTGATACATGTTTACTTATTGTAGATACATATTACCACGGATACATGTTTACTTATTGTAGATGCATATTACCACGGATACATGTTTACTTATTGTAGATACATATTACCACGGATACATGTTTACTTATTGTAGATACATATTACCACTGATACATGTTTACTTATTGTAGATACATATTACCACTGATACATGTTTACTTATTGTAGATACATATTACCACGGATACATGTTTACTTATTGTAGATGCATATTACCACTGATACATGTTTACTTATTGTAGATACATATTACCACTGATACATGTTTACTTATTGTAGATGCATATTAGCACTGATACATGTTTACTTATTGTATATACATATTACCACGGATACATGTTTACTCATTTTACCTTTGAAGGATAAATCAATGGTTAGATTATATATTCAACTGATATGAGATACATTTAAAATAATCAAGGACAGCTTTAAAAGGCAACAAACTGTAAGGGGAGATAATTTTCTTTTTAGAAGTATAAAAAATAAGAGGAAAATCTAAGTATATATATAGATATATATATATAGTAACTGTCAGGGGAAACATGTCTGACTACTTCAAGTTCTATTCTAATATTTAGGAAGTATACAGATAACCATGTTGAGAGGATATGCAGTTGCTGAATAGGAGGTATGTTAAAAGCTACAGGATCTTTGTTTGCAGCAAGCATTTCATTACCACAGGAAATGTGGAAGTGTGTTTTCATAGAAAATTAAGTGTGTCTCAACAAGGCTACAATACATGGAGAGAACTGTGTAGGAATTTACGATTCCAGGATATTAGTTTTTTGGAGGACCACATACGATTTGAAAAGGTATTACATCATGTTATGAGTGTAAAATTTCAAGGGATATGCATTATTCAAAAGATATACCCGTTAAGTTTACAGAAGTCACTGTATAAATATTGAAGTGTGATTTGAATTTGGGACAGATACTGTGAGAACACTGTAGCAGACGTGTTAATGTTTACTATAGATAGGCACTTGAAAGAGACACCTTGACAACTCTTTTGAGTTAAGGAATTGATTATACTATTTGGATAAAGTATTTTAATTGTGAAGAAAAATCTTTACATTTAAATTTCTTATCAGCAATAGTGGGATGGAATATCTTAATGAGTTGTTGTGTTTACAGTAGACTTAAGGCCCCTTCATCTTATCATACCCTTTGGAGCTGACAGGGCGAGCAGACGGTCAAACCAACCACAGACAGATCTGAAATTTGTTCACACTATAATTTCAGAAAAAGTCATCAAGGAATTAATAGTGGTCTGTGTAAAAAATTTACCTTGGTAGAGAATACTGCAGCACAGAATTACTTCAAGAGGTTGAGTGGTTGTGAGTGGACCCTAGCTCTATCATTGACTGTATAGTGTCTGTTCAATGAATATATGTATACACACAACAGTGCATAACACTGTGTAACTTACTTATAGGGGCCTACAGTAACTAGTGGAAAACAAGAGCTTCACATTGGCTGACAGCCTGATTGAAGTATATCAAATTTAGTGTGTTTGTGTGTTTAATCATAAGTAAGGCAGGCATGAGACGAATGCAGATTTATCATGACTTGGAAAATTCGGAGTTAGACGACGTATTTCCGCCAAACTCGTTGGGTTCAGAGATGGATTCAAGTACAGTGAAAAGTGTTGGAGTTATTGAACAGCTATTGCAAAGTCAGTGTGGAAGTTCAAGTGATGTTTCAGAGGCTAGAGGACACCTCGCACAAACTTCACTGGAGAGTATCCACTCAAACGTAACCAGGTCACGATCTTTTAAAACAAAAAATAGTTCGTTCTTCAGTTTGGGTCGCTCACTGTCACTAAAACGTGAACCAGGGACAGGGCGAGTATTCAGGTAAATCAGACTTTTGTCTATTCATTTCATCTCATATGTTTGTTATGGTAAGGTGAGAGAAAGAAATTAGGTTAGGTTTATAAATCAATTAGTGCAAATGTACTCTAGTCTACCTAATTAAAACCCAGTGAGCATAATGATGCAGTATAAATTACCTTTGTTTTCAGCATCAGGAACAATTTTCATCTCAAGAGTAATTTGCTATCTTTTTAATACAGAATATTTATTTAAGTACAGTCAAACCTCATTATCTCAAACTTGGCAGGGCTATGGGAAAACTTTGAGGTAACCCAGTATTCAATTTAAGTGAGTTTGAATATTTTGTGTAAAGTTAGAAAGGGACTGATGACATGCTTCAAATTAAACAGTGTATTTTAGTTATACAAGTTCTAGATAATGAGGTTTGAGTGTATGTAAGATTTTATTTATTCTGTAAACTAATAACACTTTTTACTACCACTGTTGAATAAATGAAAATGATTTTCTCCAAAACACTGAAATTGATTTACCTGATAATCTGAAATAACATTTGACCTGAATTACTTCTTAGTTTACACTGAAAGAAATTAAGCACATGTATTGCCAAGTATTCATTTTGATTTGATACAGACTGAACACAGTTGAGGAATATTGATATAATATATTTTAGAAATTTTGATATTCTAATTTTGAATTGAAATTTGAAATAATGAAAAATTTTAAATGAATGAAATTTTAATTTTAACTCTATATTGATATTTCGTATCACTATAAGGAGTAGATTATAAATTCTACCAAGCAAGAGTATACTGTTACTAGGTTTTTTACTGTTATGTATATATTACCGGATATCTAAACATGAAAAGTGGTCTGCCAGATGTTTGTGACAAAGATCTATTATTCAAAGGTCATGAAAGAGTCAGAAAGTGTTCGTATCATTACCTTTTATGGAAACTTGACAAACGTCACACGTCCCAGGGGTCTTAGGTATTTCCATCCCTCCTTGATCATGTTTTATGGATTGTATACAGGTATATTATGTACTTTTGGTTGATAATTATGGTCCTGTTGGTAGGTTGGAGTATATTGCACTGTGTGAGCTATAGGGGACAGAGTCAAGTTGTACAGGGGAGGGGGATTGAAGATTATTGGGGAAGGAGGAGAATAGTGATGGATTCATGAGGTGAACAAGTACTAAACATAGAAATTGTACATGCAAGTTAGTATAAAGCTGAAATGAATTTAAAATTTATTTTAAATATTTTTTTAATAGTTACTCCTTTTACTTTTGAAAATCATGACATTGTTTTTGACATTTTTATAAATTTTGAATCTGTTTAATTTGATAAATTACACTTTACACTTTTTACTGTGTACTTAAAGTTAGGGGTGCTCACATCTCCCGAGAGTAGTTTTGTAGCCTGTGGTTTTAAGCTATTACAAGTGTCTAGCTTTTCCATACAAAAGGCTGTAGGGTTAAATGTAAATATTTGTGTCACATTGTGTTTGGTGTTAAGTTCAAAGTATATACAATTGGTATATCTTTGTATATAAGAGCTCTTGCTTCTGTGCTGAAGATCTTATACAAAATGACTGGCACTAAAAAACATTATATACAAATATTGGTTTATATAGAGTATCTTTACCAGGAAAATCTGTATATTTTGGATATTCGGGTAAATTAAAACTGATATTCTATTTTATTTTTACCTGTGTAATATGGACACCTTTGTAAATATATAATTCAAGACTGCAATACTATACATATTATTTGGAAACTCAGAAATTATTTCTGTTTAAAACTGCCAGAAAGCAATTAAGATATATTGATCGTTAGAAAAATGAAACAGAAATTCCATAATATTTTATATTCATAAAGGAAAAAAATATTACTGTTTCTATGTTTTGATATGGTGTGTAATGTAGTGCATAAGACAATCCCTTAAAAGTTTAACAAGAGTTGGTATTAAAATCTTTTAAACTATGAAATATATGTGATTACTGCTATCTGAAATGTCCAATTATGAAAAGGAAGCACTTAAGCTCTGGAAAGATTGAATGATACTGGTGTGTTTTTAAAGCTGATGTTTGTGACTTATTGGGGTAATGCCAGCTGATATCTGAATCTGCTCCCCTCCCCTCTCCCTCCTCTCAATCACCTCAATCTTCCTCATGCATTTGAAATAAAATAGTGGATAAGGAGGGGGAATGTGGGGTGGGGGAGACCTGATGCTGCTATTCTGAGGTAAACTTTAAATTGAGTTAGTGATTTTACAATGTATGTAAATATTTGGACAGGTTGAGTGGCTTCCAGAAGGTTCATCTTCTGAGGTTTCAGTTTCCATTTCAAGATTCCAAATATTGAGAGTAATGTACAGATGATGTCTATTTTATAAACCAATCCTTTGAAATATATTGTGTTGTATATTTTTTAGAAATTGTGGAATTACAGGGACAATATGGCCATAGTCACATATGGATGTAAGATTTCATCTCACTTATTTTGGAAGCTGACATTTCTAATAAGACTTACAATAAATTATTCATTCAGTTTCTATGGTATGGCATACTGTAGCAAAGCCAAGAGAAGCTGGCTTATCAATTATGTACATGGTTTTGAAAACAAAATTAACATAATAATGATAAGGTACATAATATTTGTGATACCATAATTGACCCAAAAGGTTCTATCTTTGTATTTACAAATTACTCTTTTACCAAATTTAAGATATGAGCGTATGTATTAAAAGGTTTGTTTGTTTGTTTGTTTGAATATTGATAAATGATGAAGTTTGTTGTACGATTTTGAATAATATCATATTTGATGTAAATCAATTTTACCTGATATATTCCATTAAGGGGGCATGTTTTAGGTCAATTTTCTCAGTTTTCTTGACCCTTATCAACTTAAATGTATCTGTCATAGGTGTGTATAATATAGGTAGGACTGTTTGTATAATTATTGCATGTTTACATATTCTGCCTATGCATAAATTGAAGTTTACTACATTATTATGATATGTAGATGATCTGAACACGTTCAGAATGCAAACACTTTTCATCCTATTACCACAGTTTATCATATACTTGTATAGTTAATTACCTGTTTTGTATAATTAACTACCTGTTTTTCTCTCCTGTTGATTACTTGTAAATTATGGTCACTCTTGAAAGTGAACACTTGTGCAATATGGTCACCGGTTGAAAGCTACCATCGGTGTTATTATGAACACCTCTAGAAAGTGACCACCTGTGTATTTTGACTGCCTATTGATATAACCCTGTGCATTATGGCCACTTGTTGAGTGTTATCACCTATGTATTTTGGCCACCTGTGCATCATGACTATCAATTGAAAGTTTCTACCTGTGTATAGTGACTATCAATTGAAAAAGACCAACATTAAATTATGACCATGTATTAAAAGTATTAAGTAAATTATGTCATTGTAATCAAAGTGACCACCTGTGCATTGTGACCATGTATTTAAAGCGAACACCTGTGCATTGTGACCATGTATTTAAAGTTACCGCCTGTGCATTACAACCATCCATTTAAAGTGACCGCCTGTGCATTACGACCACCCATTTAAAGTGACCGCCTGTGCATTACGACCACCCATTTAAAGTGACTGTCTGGGCATTACGACCACCCATTTAAAGTGACTGCCTGTGCATTACGACTATCCATTTAAAGCGACCGTCTGTGCATTACGACCACCCATTTAAAGTGACCGCCTGTGCATTACGACCATCCATTTAAAGTGACCGCCTGTGCATTATGACCACCCATTTAAAGTGACCGCCTGTGCATTATGACCACCCATTTAAAGTGACCGCCTGTGCATTACGACCACCCATTTAAAGTGACCGCCTGTGCATTACGACCACCCTTTTAAAGTGACCGTCTGTGCATTACGACCATCCATTTAAAGTGACCGCCTGTGCATTACGACCACCCATTTAAAGTGACCGCCTTTTTAAAGCTAATATGTCCACAAATAACCATCTGTATGTTTTGTATCATTTTAGTAAACCATTGCCTGTGTAGAGCATTGAAAGCAAAACAGAAGAATTCCTTTTAAACTATTTCTTTGTCATTTCATGTTTGGAGATGAATTTTTGAGATTTCTCAATGTTATTATTAAAAGTCTTCATATATAAGCTACGGTATGGTTGAAAAGGTTTAAGGTTTGTGGGATGAAATTTTTTATGAAAATTACCTAATAGTTCTTAACATTTTAAACCACTTAAGAAGTTCTCAGTTGAAATGCCCACTTTTCAGTCTGATGTAGTATTGTAGTGGTTATGAAGATTTACCAGTCAATATAAACTATAAAATTATATGGTATTTGTTTTACAATCATTATTGGTGCTTTCTATGTACTGTATGCATGATGGATCAGTCATTCCTTTTCCTCGTGACAGACAGATAAAAATAAAGAGGATAACATTTCATCCTAAAGCAGGCCTATGTTATTGATAGACTTTACGTCAATGGAACATTGATAATCAGTTGTCTGTATATTGATATTTAACAGTTTTAGCTCACCTGACCCAAACGCCGTTCATTATCTGAATTCCGAATGCCGTAATTTGTCATTTGTCTGTCCAGTGTCAACTTCCTATTTAAACAAATTTTTCTCATAATCAAACGATCAAATTTCATGATATTTGGCTGGTGGGATACTGGGTTGAATCCCGACAGTTTGCAAAAAGAAATGACCTTCACCCTTATTTTAGGCCTACTATAATGAAGCCTGACAAGGTTTATGAAAAGAATTGACATTAACCCTTATTCGAGGTCACAGGGGTTGAGTTTGATAAAACTTTAAAACAATTTCTTCAGGATAACCAAAATACTAAGGAGCATGGTATTTGAATGATAGGTTCCTATGATGATCTGAGGCCTGACTAAGTTTTAGACAAGAAATAACTTTGAGGTCACAGGGATTGAATTTGTCAAAACCTGTGCTAATGATGTACATTGAATACCAGGTGAGCAATGCAGACCCATTGGTC